AAGTACTAGTAAGGACATAAAAGGACTACGAAGGATGGAAAAGGACTAGTAAGGACATAACAGTACTAGTAAGGACAGAAAAGGACAAGTAAGGACATAAAAGGACTAATAAGGACATCAAAGGACTAGTAAGGACAGAAAAAGACAAGTAAGGACAGAAAAGGACAAGTAAGGACATAAAAGGACTACGAAGGATAAAAAAGGCCTGGTTAGGACATAAAAAGGACTAGAAAGGACGAAAAAGGACTGGTTAGGACATAAAAGGACTAGGAAGAACAGAAAAGGACAAGTAAGGACAGACAAGGACTAGTAAGGACGGCAAAGAATTGTTGAGGATATTAAGGACTAGTAAGGACAGACAATGACTAATAAAATAAGGACACAAAAGGACTAGTAAGGACGGAAAAGGACAAGTTAGGATAATACAGGACTAGTAAGGACATTAAGGGACTACTGAGAACAGAAAAGGACTGGTAAGGACACAAAAGGACAAGTTAGGATAATACAGGACTAGTAAGGTCATTAAAGGACTTGTAGGGACGGAAAAGGACTGGTTAGGATACTAAAGGACTAATAAGTACAGAAACGAAATAGTTTTGAGAAGTGCGTATTACTTACAAGACGTTGTGCACTGCGTTCATTTAATTTATGTTGCACGACTATATGGTGTGCTAAAATGTAGTTCATGCCGTGTTCCCCTGCATTGTTATTCTGTGTTACTCTGTGTTACTTTGTGTCACCCTGTGTTCCTCTGTGTTATCCTATGTTACCCTATGTTACTTTGTGTTGCCCTGTACGTGTGTTCCCCTGTGTTCCTCTGTGTTACCCTGCGTTACCCTGTGTTGTCTTGTGTTCCCCTGTGTTACCTTGTGTTACTCTGTGTTACTCTGCGTTCCCTTGTGTTTTTCCTGTGTTACCCTGTACGTGTTACACTGTGTTACCTTGTGTTACCCTGTGTTCTCCTGTGTTTCTCTGTGTAACCTTGTGTTACACTGTGTTACCCTGTGTTCCCCTGTGTTACTCTGTGTTACCTTGTGTTACCCTGTGTTCCCTGTGTTACACTGTGTTACCCTGTGTCACCCTCTGTTACTCTATGTGCCCCAGTGTTACCCTGTGCACCCCTGTGTTACCTTGTGTTCCCCTGTGTTGCCTGTGTCTCGCTGTGTCCTCTGCAAAAATAGCAGACCCCAACTGACCGGCAGTGATACAACACAGTATTTCATGGCAAATTATTTTATTCACCTCAAAGAGTATATCATTGTGACAAGAAATAATAATAAAGTAATGGCTAATGGTTACATCATCACTTAACGAGTAGTCTACCAAATTGTCTCTGTAACTTAGATCTTGGTTCGTAGGTAGGTCCTTTTTCAGATGATACAAATAACATATTTTGTTGTAATCTTCGCTTGAACAAATTGTTCATTTCCAATAAGGCATCAGGATAATCGTAGATATTGCGTAATAACGGCAGTTCTGCTGATCAACGTGGGCTCATAATCTGCTTCTCCGTCATTTCCTCACACCATACTTTTTGAAATGCAATCCGTGGTAGCTGTATTTTGTTAGAAAACTGACCACCATAAGAGAATTATCATCAGCCATAGTTGTCTTTGGATAAACACGCCGCGGGTTGATAATGCAAAAATGTTCAACTTAAGACCTAGTATTGTGTAAAAAAAATGCAATTAAGAGTTAGCCGTTTAGCTTTTGTCTTTTTTAAAAAATAAGGCGATTAAGACATTGAGTTCCCACTTCGAAAAAAGTCAAGGAATGTTGTTTCTTAATCATCCAAAACATGTTGTATTTCTTTGCGAAATTGTAATTCTCTGTCTATCGACAAAAATATGAAATACCTGTCGCAAAAACTACAAGACGATTCAGAAAAAGAGGGCTCTTTTAACCCTGATTGGATAGTGAACAATCTATTATGTTTTCAACATACAAACGCGCTCTCCGTTCAATCAGGATTTCATTCTTAAAAGTTCAGTTTGCTCGGAAAAAAGTCTTAACTCTCACCAATTTTCTTCGAAACACTGTCCAGCGTCAAAGGATAGCCAGTTTTATTGGACATGTATTCTAACTGACTTTTGCGGCTTTGGTTGACAAACTCATCCAACAAGAAAAGCTGAAACACTGCGACCGTTGTGCTATTCAACACTCAAGTCAAAACCAACATTCTTACCTCATGATGGATAATGATGACGCATGGATATATTACCACGATGAAGTGGTGGAACAAATTGACCTGAATTCTATGCTGAACGCTACCGAAAGTATATGCAGTGCTGTCGGCTTCAAACTAGATAAATCATGGGAAGCGTACGGCGAAATATTGTCGTGGACCAGTATTTACCTCGCTTCTCTGGAACTTGATGTTGTCCAGCAGGGTGATGCTCTTGAAAGCCGTATTTTTTACGCTCTATACTACCGACCAAATGGGCTCAAATGGAATAGGATTTCAATGATCAACAAGAAACAATAGAATGCCCTGATAGAGTCGTGAGAAAAGACGAACACCAAAGGACCTTGACTTGATAATTAATGACATTCAAAATAAGCTTTATTTCTAAAAGTAATAAAATTTGTTCATGATGACTAAAATTTTGAGTCGAGATCGGGCTTTCTCTGTCTTTGCTTCGAGTCGACTTTTCTCTGTATCGCATTGTATATAAAGAGTTTCCTTTATGTCTAAAAAATGTCATTTGTTCATAGTTTGTAAATAAATATGGTTTAATATACTAACCACGGTTTGTTGTCTTTCTAGCCACGCGCGCGTGCGTGCGCCACGCGCGATTCAATCACCCGCGTAAAGGAAAAACACAGTGATATACAAGGCCCTTGTGGCCCCCTGTGGCCCCCTGTGGCCCCTGTGGCCCGTTCTCAATAGTCATAAACTTCGTGTCATTAGCGGTTTTATTCAGTTGATATCGAACCTTCGTACCGTGAACATCATGGGTAAGCGTGTCTGTCGTCATTCCCCGATACCGGGATGTCACTCTTAATTTTTAGTTCGATTAGCAAACCATTTGGCTCAGGTACACGAGCTGTCTGACTTAGAGAGAAAATATTTGCTCCAGTTTGCTAAGTTACAAAATACCAACATGGTTCGGGTTTATGATAAAGATACTCCGCCAAAGACCATTTCGCTATAAATAAGAGCAAACGCAGTTGATTGTTAACATGGACCCAAGGTGGAAACACCCATTTCCTGCTATTGTAGCTGGCCCCACTTGCTGTGGAAAAAGTCATTTTGTCAAACACCTGTTGGAATCTGGAGAAGATTTAATAGACGGAGCTCCTGAAAATATCATTTGGTGTTATGGAATATACCAACCGGCTTACGATGAAATGCTAAGGACTATTCCCAACATCACGTTCGTCGAAGGAGTTCCTGGTGATTTAGAATCTATGATAAACCCAACCATTCGGAATTTAGTGGTCATTGATGATTTAATGCAGGAGCTTAGCAATGATCGAAGAATTACCAATTTGTTTACTAAGGGCTGTTATCACCGAAATTTAAGTGTTATTTTCATTCTTCAAAATATTTTTCACCGGGGAAAAGAACTGAGAGATATGAGTTTGAATTGCCATTATTTGGTGATGTTCAAGTTCCCGCGAGATAGCAGTCAAGTCAGTCACTTGGCGAAACAGATGTTTCCCGGTCATGTCAAATACATGCAAGAGGCGTTTCAGGATGCGACAAAACGCCCTTATGGCTACCTGATATGCGACCTCAAACCGGAAACACCTACCGACTTCCGGTTGCGCACAAACATTTTCCCTGGGGAGACTCAGCTCGCCTATGTCAGAAAGGTATAAAAAAAGCTCCGTCGTTGTGATTGATATCAGTTGAGTATGGCCCAGCGACTAAGAAAGAACCACGATTTTCTTAAGCTCCTCGTCAAGTGCACCCCAGCTCAACGTAAAGCAATTTTGAAAGCAGCCGACGACGCTTTAGTAAGAACCATTTGTGAGTGTGTATTCAACGTACTTAAAGAAACAGTGCCTGTCAGTAAACCGGCAAAGAGAAAACTTCTTAAGCACAAGAAAGCCTTGACTGCTCTAGCTGAAAAGAGTACCCCGCTAAACAAGAAAAAGCAAATCTTGGTACAACACGGAGGAAACTTTTTAAGTGTTTTGGTACCTCCCGTTCTTCGAGTGTCGAGCTCGCTTCTTAGTTAAGATGAATCATACAAGACGCATGGTTCTTGTCCCTGAAAACACTCTGGAACGATTGCGGCAACGCCAGCAGATATTAACACCACCTGTAACACAAACTCTGAAAAATCTGGATAGCCAAATGGGGGATATTTTAGAAAGTAAACAATTCGGTGATGAGGAAAAGGCGAAGCTTTACAATCAGGTGTTGCAACGGTACTTGACTTATTACGATCAGCGGAAAGGTCAGCCTCTCCATGTGAAGTTAACGACCCCTAAAACAACAGAAACCCCCAAACCAGTTGAGAACGCAGAATCTACAGAGGAAGCTTCTCCAGATAATTCTCTTCCAACAGCAGTAGAGCAAGAGGTCATGAAAAGTGTACCCAAAATTTACAAAGCTGGGGCTAGACAGTTGTTGGATAAAATTAAAAAACACCAGGACGTGTTGCACTGGAATGATAAAGGAGAGCTGTTGTATGAAAACAAACCAATCCCCAACCTCGTTCCCAGGGTTCTCTCCTACCCACCCTACGGAGCGAGAGAGAGAGAGAACCTGGAAAACGCTGGTCACGTTGCTCCGGAACAAAATTAATTCTGAGGGAGGAGTCCTTTGTCTCACATTGTTTTGTCTGGTTTATTCGCAACATTCACGCAGTGATCGCAACAGCAAGATAGATTTGCTAACCCTACTACAACTACAACTGAAACTAAGGAAAACTTCTGCCTAAACAGAAGTATCAGATAAACAAGTGAATTACCAGAGAAGGAATAGAAAACTAGCGTTGTCTCCGTTTTAACCGATGACACCAATCGCTAAAAATCTTGAGTTATACACAAGCGAGTTAATTTTTTGAAGGTAAAATCCCTGTATGTTGAACTTCTATATTAATATTTTCAATGTTAGTCTGACAGCGGCTGGTAATCGGGCGAAATAAACCTACACCATTTGCGATCTTAGCGTTTCGGCGTGACAAACCCCCGGGAAAAAACATGGCAGTTACATTGAGAGCAGGGAATTCAGTTAATACATTTACGATCAAAGTAATATCTTAGATCTAGTGACTTCACGGAAAGCTATAGCCTAAAATGTCAGCTAGAGTCTCTCTCTCTTGCTCCGTAGGGCGGGTAGGAGAGAACCCTGGGAACGAGGTTGACCAATCCCAGGTTCTCATGTGGTCGACCTAGTCAACGACACATTGCGTCACCGAAAAGGATTTGAACCAGTGCGGTGGTCCGTGTTTGCGAGGGGCCTGGCGCGAATGAATGTCCCCGAAAACTTGGTTCGTAATCCCCAACGTCAGAGTGCCATAAGAGAATTTAAAGCAAGAGTGAGAGAGGAGACCCCAGAAATTCCTTCGCGTTGGCTACCCACCCCACCTGTGACGTTATCTTCTGTCAAAAATCAGAGGCGTAGAGTCGAGAGTCCTCGCCCTCAGGCTGTTCGATGGTTACGATTATAAATCATGACAAGAGACTTTTTTTATTCTGAAACACAAAACTTTATTTTGTCATTCAATAAAATGTGTTGAAAAGAAATTACATGGAGTCTGTTTACTGAACTTAGTGTTGTGCTTTTGCTCTTTGCTTGTTTACATCAGTACGATATTTCGGAAAACCTATAGTCACAGTATTAAAAGTCCACTGGTTAGAATTGTTGTTTAAAAACGTAGTAAAAGTTCCTGAATATTTGCTGGGTGGTGATCCGTAAGAATCGAAAAATTCTCCCTCTTGCTCCTTGGTGAAATAAAACGCCACCCAATGCGAACCTGGCTTGTCACTCGTATCCACATTGGCGATAAACAGGGCTGGGTAATGTGAAACACTTGCAGGCAGCTGGTCTGAGGGATACACGCCTTGAAACAAACCTCGTGTAAATTTATCCTTTCTCAAAATATGTGTCAGTTGAATAGTGTCCATTTTTAGTTTGTGTAGTCAAACAACACGTTACGGTTCCTGTCAATTTCAATCACATTTTGGAATTCAGCGTACACGATAAGGTTAACCGTATTGGCCAGTGGTTCCTTGAAATGAAGCTCAGCGCGCAGGTTACCTTGCTTTATTAGCTCAAAATGGTCACCTGAGCATTGGTCTGGGGACAAGTCAAAGCAGAATGCTGTATAACCAGAGCCATAATCGCTTCTACTGATTTGATTACCCGCATCTTGAGATAGCTTTCCAATGCCGGAGAACAGGCTTTGATAGCCCGCTATTACATTTTGACCTCTAGCTTCGTCAAAATTCAAGAACAGGGGTTTCTGAGGAAGTTGCTCTCCGTCCACATAGACACCCACTTGAGTTAGATTGTGGTGTTTGAAGTTGAACGGGTTGGTACTGTAAGTTCCACTATATGCCTGAGTATCCACTAAGACCAGCACGATTCGTTTGGGAATGTGACCCAAAAAGATGTTGTCGGGGTTAAAACTGCTAAATCCTCTTGGAATAGACAGCACTTTACAATCGATTCGGCGAACCGGGTACTTGGCACTGGAGTGTTTTAGTGCAGCCGCATGGCCAAGTATAATAGAGGAGGCCAATTTCACCCGGCGAACGAACAAGATGGCTTCTGTGATTACCACCTTGAAAGTTGGAGCGGCTGCTAATGACATTAGACAAAACGAGTTCTTGGCACGGTTCAGCTTGATTCTTAAATTCACTCCATATAGCATCAACCGGTATGAAAGAAAATGTCGCTATGAATGGGCCCCATCATATCCACAATATGACTTTCTTTAGTGAAATCATAGCGAACCTTTAACTCCTTGTTTGCAGCATCGTCTGCAGCCGCAGGGTTGGCAACATCCATTTTTCCAGGGGTATCTTTGTAAAACATGGCCATAGAAAGTTGACTTGTTTTTTCTTCTTCTCCGTAGTTTAGCAAGGTTTCGGTCATGGCGCGATAAGGGTAGGTATTGGTGGATGGAGAGATCAATCGCTCGTTCAAGGAAACGTCCACTTGGGAAAACAGGGAATGTAAAAACAGGTTCACGGGACCTACTTGTGTATCGGCATCTATGGCGGTTCCATTTGCTTTTGTGATCTTGGCTTTAACAATAACCGAGTACGTGCCAAGTCCAAATACTCATTTGCGGTTCCCGAAACATAAAATTCGATCGGACCACTGTCCGTGATGTTACTGATGGGGTGGTACTCGATCCATTTCCCTTTGGAGATAGAGGTTTGTGTTGCGGGAATCGTAAAGAGATCCAACTCTGATTTCGTACATTCCTGAGACTCGTGATGCACCAAAGGCCATAGTTACTTCCAGAAAGAAAATTTCTCTTTGGGCTTCTTTTGCTGCGGAGATGTTTTTGCTTCCTTGCCTTGAGGCGAACTGATTTTGGTTCCTTGCCCTTTTCTTTTTATAGCTTTTTTGCCAGCTCCTGATTGTGCCTGCAATGAATTGTGAGAAGGTAGACCGAGGGCTTGTTTCGTGCGCTTGTGGACTGCTGTTTTAAAGTTATCTCCATCAAGAACATCTTGGACGACATTGACACCTGTTTGTAAAGCCTTTTTTCTAATCACCTTAGCACCCTGTTAAAGGTGAGGCATTGAATTCACGATTTTAAAAAGCTAAAATCTTGAAACCGGCTAAAAATCTTTAATTCAGGTTTTTGGAAAGCTAAAATCTTTAATTCGGCCAAAATCTTTATATTAAAATCTAGGAACTTGAAATCGGCTAAAATCATAAATTGAGGATTTTGGGAAGCTAAGACCCTGAAATCGGCCAATATCTTGAATTCGGGGTTTTGGAAAGGTAAAATCTTGAAATCAGCCAAAATCTTGAATTCAGGACTTTAGAAAGCTAAGATCTTGAAACCGGCGAGAATCTTGAATTAAGGATTTTGGAAAGCTAAGGTCTTAAAATCGACCAAAAGCTTGAATTCAGCATTTTGGAATGCTAAGATCTTCAACTCGGCCAAAATCTTGAATTCAAGAATTTGGAAAGCTAAAATCTTAAAATCGGCAAAAATATTGAATTCAGGATTCTGGAAAGGTAAGATCTTGAAATCGCCCAAAATCTTGAATTCAGGATTTTTGAAAACTAAGATCTTGAAATCGGCCGAAATCTTGAATTTAAGATTTTAAAAAGCTAAGATCTTAAAATCTCCCAAAATCTTCAATTCAGGATTTTGGAAAGCTAAGATCTTAAAATCGGCCAGAATCTTGAATTCTGGATTTTGGAAAGCCAAGATCTTGAAATCGAACAAAATTTTAAATTCAGGATCTTGGAAAGTGAATATCTTGAAATCGGCCAAAATCTTGAATTCAGGATTTTGGAAAGCTAAGATCTTGAAATCGGCCAAAATCTTGAAATCAGGGTTTTGGAAATGTAAAATCTTGATAACAGCCAAAATCTTGAATTCAGGATTTTGGAAAGCTAAGATCTTAAAATTGGCCAAAATCTTGACTTCAGGATTTTGGAAAGCTAGAATCTTGAAATCGGCCAAAATGTTGAATTCAGGATTTTCAAAAGCTAAGATCTTGAGATCGGCCAAAATCTTGAATTCAGGATTTTGGAAAGCTAAGATCCTGAAATAGGCCAAAATCTTGAAATCAGGGTTTTGGAAAGCTAAGATCTTAAAATCGGCCAAAATCTTGAATTCAGGATTTTGGAAAGCTAAGATCTTGAAATCGGCAAAAATCTTGAATTCAAGATTTTGGAAACCTAAAAACTTGAGATCGGCAAAAAAATTGAATTCAAGTATTTGGAAAGCTAAAATCTTGAAATCGGCAAAAATCTTGAATTGTGGATTTTGGAAAGCTAAGATCTTGAAATCATGCGAAAATCTTGAATTCAAGATTTTCAAAAGCTAAGATCTGGAAATCGCCCAAAATCTTGAATTCAGGATTTTGGAAAGCGAATTTCTTGAAATCGGCCAAAATCTTAAATTAAGGAGTTTGGAAAGGCAAGATCTTAAAATCGGCCAAAATCTTGAATTGAGGATTTTAGAAAGCTAAGATCTTGAAATCGGCACAAATCCTGAATACAGGATTTTGGAAAGCTAAGATCCTGAAATCAAGCCAAAATCTTGAATTAAAGATTTTGAAAAGCTAAGATCTTAAGAGCCAATGTCCGTAATTTTCGAGAATCGGTTGACAGTCGTGAATTTTTGAATTTCTTCATATTTTGCCCAAATAATCTCTATAGTACACTAATTTCAAAAATCACGTTAAAACTTGTAAGAGCTTTTTATTTTTTCAGGAATCAGGCAATGTTTGAAAAACTCTAAATCGGCGCTCTTTTGAGTATGGAATTAGCGAAAATTGAGCATTTTCTTCGCGCTCGTACATAAAAACGGAATATTATCTGCAGATGAAATCAAGTCACCACACAGACGCACATTTTTACTTTATAATTCAGCAGTTAACTTTAAATAAACCGTTTAAATGTGACTGTACCGGCCGCAAGAAGAAACATGGTTGCAGCACTTTTCAAAAATGGCAAATTTGACCTAACTTCACCATCGTAAAAACCCAGTTGGTACACGGAATTTAAATATGAAACAAGAACTACATTGAAGCATATCCTCTGCTGTTGTTTGTGTTAAAATATTTCTGGCGGCATTCCAAATGCACACCGTCGAGAGACCAAAACCTGAAGGGTATTTTGACACCAGCAAAGCGCGTGCAACAAGCAAATTTCGACGCTTGGAATATTAATCCTTCACAAACGTAAGTTACTTCGACATTTAAACGCTAGTCAGAGTTGTAACGGTTTCAGATTATTTTTCGGCGTTTCTGTTCGGTTTAACATGATTCCTTTCAACTGATTTTTGCGATAAACCATATAAATGAAGAGACGAATACGCAGTTCAAATCACAGTTAGTAGAGAGGAATATTGTCGAAATACTCGCTTGCTATAGTTTTAATCGTATTGAAACCTTAAAATCAGAAAAATTATTTACTTACCTGAATTTAAATGCTAGACGGGGTCACAGTACCGCTAACTAAATCTGCATCACGGCAGAATCGAAGTTAAGTTTGTATATGTTTTCAATCTGTCAACAAAGATGACATTCCGGAAGTGCGTGACGCGTAACGCGCCGGAAAAGAAATTCCTGGTATAAGTGGTTTACGGTGCAAGTCTTTGTTGTATGTTCCTATAGCATCTCGCACATATTCAAACTTGGTTTGTGGCGCCTGTTGCCCAAGTAATGCTGAATGTATTGCGATCATAGAAAAGATGTCGTGAGTCACTTGGTATGCCCCTGACTTGTTAGTTATGAACGTAGGGCAATAACCAAACATCGACCCTACCATGCTAATGATAAAAGTAAGGTTTTCTGCATTTACGTTACGTGATCTTTGTTTGATCCACAAAACTGGCGCATGAAAATAAGAGTTTTTCCTCACCACCTCTAAATTTTTGGTTCCAGGTAGCGGTGCAACAAATCACGTGGTACCGTTCTGGATCAACCTACTGGCTGCTTATAGAGGGGTCCATAAAGGCGTGTTGATTGATGGCTCTGTATGGCCTGAACTGAAAATGATACACGCAGACGTTTTCTGAGCGAGAAGGTGCAGCTTTTACACTCCTCTTTCGTTTCGAAAATAGACGAGCATGCGAGCAAAGTGAGCGCGCTAGAGAGAGCCCCTTGCTCTAATGGTCAATAAATCCCCCGCGGCTTTTATTTTCATACGCTAAATCGACGATCTCCAAGGAGAAAATAGATCGACGATCTCTAATGAAAAAGTAGAGGGTCTGTGAACAGGCTACGAAGGAGCTTGCTATATTTTAGTGAACTCTTTACAAGAGGTCTCAGGTGATTATGCTAACGTCGTGAAAAGTCTACTTTAGGGAAGGAGGAGGAGATGGGTGGGTTGGTTGGCATTGGGTTCTGCATTAGGATCAACCCTACACATACAACAATATATTCATGTCTTTACCACTACATTTAGAGCTAGCAGACTTTGTTTGATCCACAAAATTGGCGCAGAAAATAAAAGTTTTTCCTCACCACCGCTAAATGTTTGGCCTCCGGGTGGCGGAGAACAAATCACGTTGTACCGTTCCAGAACAGCCTACTGGCCATGCTGGCTGCTCATTTAAAAGGGGTTCGTAAAGGCACATTAATTGATGACTCTGTGTGGGCTGAAGAAAATTATATACGCAGACGTTTTCAGAGCGACGAAGGAGCTGCCTTTACACTTCTTTTTCTTTTCGAAAATGGCCACGGACTTCTCTCCTCGCTCCTCGCCGCTAGGCGGTCGTTTTTGCCTGAAAGATACCACCACGAAGGAGTTCTAGCACACAAGTCACTGCAGGTGCAGGCCTAGGAAAAGGGTGGTATTCTCCATCTGAAATTTTAAATCGAAATGAAAGGCTATTTTCAGCCTTTTCTCTCTTTTCTCCGCAACGTATTTGGTTAAAAGATAGTAAGTAAAATGGCTGAGGCATTTTAAAGCATTTTTTAATTTACGCGACGGATTTTGACGTTATGAAAAAGAACTTGTCAGTGAATTGGTTTATATTCTAGCCTGCGAACAAGTGCCGGGGGTAGTGGCGGACAGAGCCAGGTGACTATTCCTTTTTTCAGGCGGGAGCTAGCAGTACGTGCATTCTGGTCTAACCCCATACTTTAAGGGCCTCTGTTCGGGGGGCGAGGGATCAGATAATGTACAATTCGTCAACAGCAGGTTGAAGTCTCGCCAGAAGATGCCCTTGCTGCAGAGGAGCAGAGCAATACTACTTTCAGTAATTTAAACATGTTAAATACTTGTATTTTGCTCATCAAATGTGTCCACTGTCCATCGTCGACTTGTGGTTTTTCAGGAATGTTCTTTTGCGAAGCATTGGCCAATTTTCTTTAAACAGTTTTACTCGTTTCCATTTCCCTGCTCTACCTTCATGTTGCATATGGCGTACGTGTGTACCTAAATCCCTCAATTTATACTGAGGCGATCGATAAAGAAGTCTATACGCCAAGCAGGGTTAAGATTAGTTTATTACAAGCAAGGGCTCAGAAGGCTAAGTGCAAATAAAAGAAAACTAGTGTGAAAAGTTTTGCAGACTCGGCTTACTCTATTTGTTTTCTTTCTCTATTTGAGTTTCGGCTGGTGACATCCTAAAATCAAGTTTAGTTCCACATGTTTTGGGAATATAAAATATAAAACTAAAACAAACAGCGTTAATTGTCATTATATTTTTTCTTGTACACTCGTGCGATGATTTATCCTTGTCTGTACAGTTGCGTGACCAGACTCAAATTACACACGGGCTTTCATCACGCATCACAGCGTTTAGTCCGAGGCTAAACGACGGAAGATCTCAGTAAACTGCGGCCACTTGCAGTTGAAACGACTGTGGTAAGTAATTCTTAGAGATCTCAAATCCCATTTAGAGCTAGCAGAGCTAGCACGCCGTTTCTAGCGACTTTATTTTAGGTGCAGAAACTCGAGGTCAATATTTACACTGAATGAGAACTTAACAGCAGCTGACAGCGTTGTCTTTTTCAGCTACTTGCGTGCAATCAAATGCAGTGTTAATGTACTTAGTTCTTTTTTATAACCACCAAATTGAAAAGCGTTTTTCAAAAGATTTTAAGAGCTTCCCGTAATGTGCCCCTTGTAAAAGAAGCTAAGTTAGCAAAAACTTTTGTGTGCCGACACTCGCGGCTAGCTTGTTTCAGCGTTCCAACGTGCGAAACTACCCTGCACGTTTCGGTGTCTCAGCGACGCACTTTTGTAATGCCGCCAAAAAATTTTTAACACAAGAAACGGCAAAGGATGTGCTTTAAAATAGTGTTTGTTTCATGTTGAAATTCCATGTATCAATTGATTTTTTCGATGGTGGAGTTAGGTCAAATTTGCCATTTTTGAAAAGAGCCGAAATCGTGTTTCTTCTTGCGGCCAACACAGTCACATTTAAACAGCTTATCTAAAGATAATTGCTGAATTATAAAGTACAAGTCTGTGTTTTCCTTGTGACTTGATTTCATTTAGAGATATCAGTCCGTTTTTATGTACGAGCGCGAAGAAAATGCTTAATTTTCGCTAATTTCATACTCGAAAGAGCGCCGATTTGGCGTTTTTCAAACTTTGCCCGATTCAGGAAAAAATAAAAACCCGTTAGAAGTTTTAATGTGATTTTTGAAATAAGTGTACTATAGAGATTATGTGGGCGAAATATGTAGAAATTCAAAAATTCACGACTGTCAACCGATTCTCGAAAATTACAGACATTGGCTCTTAAAAACGCCCAAAATCTTGAATTCAGGATTTTGGAAAGCTAAGATCTTGAAATTGGCTATAATCTTGAATTAAGGATTTTGGATAGCCAAGGTCTTGAAATCGACCAAAATTTTAAATTTAGGATTTTGGAAACCTAAGATCTTGAAATCGGCCAAAATCTTCAATTCAAGATTTTGAAAAGGTAAGATCTTGAAATCCCCCAAAATCTTGAATTCACGATTTTGGAAAGGTAAAATCTAGAAATAGGCCAAAATTTTTAATTCAGGATTTTGGTAAGAAAAAATCTTCAAATTTGCAAAAATCTTAAATTCACGATTTTAAAAAGCTCAAATCTAGAAATCGGCTTAAAATCTTGAATTCAGGATTTTGGAAAGCTAAAATCTTGATATCGGCCAAAATCTTTAATTTAGGATTTTGGAAAGCTAAAATCTTGATATCGGCCAAAATCTTGAATTTAGGATTTATAAAAGCTAGGATCTTGAAATCGGCCAGAATCAATAATTGAGGATTTTGGAAAGCTAAGATCTTGAAATCGGCCAAAATCTTAAATTCAGGGTTTTGGAAAGGTAAAATCTTGAAATCAGCCAAAATCTTGAATTCAAGATTTTGGGAAGCTAAAAACTTTTAATCCGGAAAAATCTTGAATTCAGGATTTTGGAAAGCTAAGACCATGAAATCGGCCAAAATCTTAAATTCACGATTTTGGAAAGGTAAAATCTTCAACTCAGACAAAATCTTGAATTTAGGATTTTGAAAAGCTAAAATCTTGAAATCGGCCAAAATCTGGAATTCAGGATTTTGGAAAGCTAAAATCCTGATATCGGCCAAAATCTTGAATTCAGGATTTTGGAAAGTTAAATCTTGATATCGGCCAAAATCTTGAATTCAGGATTTAAAAAAGCTAACTACTAGAAATCGGCCAAAATCTAGAATTCACGATTTTGGAAAGGTAATATCTTAAAATCGGCCAAAGTCTTGAAGTCAGCATTTTGAAAAGCTAAAATCTTGAAATCGGAAAAAATTTAAAATTCAGCATTTTGGAAAGCTAAGATCTTTAAATCGCCGAAAATCTTGAGTTCAGGATTTTGGAAAGGTAAAATCTTCAAATCGGTCAAAATCTTGAATTCAGGATTTTGGAAAGCTAAAATCTTGAAATCGGCCAAAATCTTGAATTCAGGATTTATAAAAGCTAAAATCTTGAGATCGGCCAAAATCTTGAATTCAGGATTTTGGAAAGCTAAGAAATTGAAATCGGCCAAAATCTTGAAATCAGGGTTTTGGAAATGTAAAATCTTGAAAACAGAAAAAATCTTGAATTCGGAATTTTGGAAAGCTAAGATCTTAAAATCGGCCAAAATCTTGAATTTACGATTTTGGAAAGCTAAGACCTTGAAATCGGCCAAAATCTTGAATTTAAGATTTTGAAAAGCTAAGATCTTAAAATCGCCCAAAATCTTGAATTCAGGTTTTTGCAAAGGTAAAATCTTGAAATGGGCCAAAATCTTGAATTCAGGATTTTGGAAAGCTAAAATCTTGAAATCGGCCAAAATCTTAAATTCAGGATTTTGGAAAGGTAAGCTCTTGAGATCGCCGAAAACCTTGAATTCAGGGTTTTGGAAAGGTTAATTCTTCAAATCGGCCAAAATCTTGAATTCAGGAGTTTAGAAAGCCAAGATCTTGAAATCGGCCAAAATGTTGAATTCAGGATTTTGAAAAGCTAAGATCTTGAAATCGCCCAAAATCTTGAATTCAGGATTTTGGAAAGCTAAGATGTTGAAGTAGAACTAAATCGTGAATTCAGAATTTTGGAAGGGTAAAATCTTTAAATCTGCGAAAATCTTGCATTCACGATTTTTAAAAGCTAAAATGTTGAAATCGGCCAAAATCTTGAATTCAGGATTTTGGAAAGCAAAAATCTTGAATTCGGCCAAAATCTTGAATTAAGGATTTTGGAAAGCAAAAATCTTGAATTCGGATAAAATCTTGAATTCAGGATTTATAAAAGTCAAGATCTTGAAATCGGCCAAAATCTTGAATTCAGAATTTTGGAAAGCTAAAATCCTGAAATCGGCCAAAATCTTGAATTCACTATTTTGGAAAGGTAATATCTTAAAATAGGCCATAATCTTGAATTCAGCCAAAATATTTAATTCAGCATTTTGGAAAGCTAAGATCTTAAAAGCGGCCAAAATCTTGAATTCAGGATTTTAGAGAGGTAAAATTTTCAAATCGGCCAAAATTTTGAATTCAGGATTTTGAAAAGCTAAAATCTTGAAATCGGCCACAATCTTGAATTCAGGATTTTGGAAAGCTAAAATCTTGATATCGGCCAAAATCTTGAATTCACGATTTTTGAAACCTAAGATCTTTATGTCGGCCAAAATCTTGAATTCAGGATTTTTGAAAGCTAAGATCTTCGAAATCGGCCAAAATGTTGAATTCAGGATGTTGAAAAGCTAAGATGTTGAAATCGCTCAAAAAATCTTGAATTCAGGATTTTGGAAAGCTAAGATCTTCAAATCGGCCTAAGTCTTGAATTCAGGATTTTGGAAAGGTAAAATGTAGAAATCGGCCAAAATCTTGAGATCAGGATTTTGGAGAGCTAATATCTTGAATTCGGCCAAAATCTTGAATTCAGGATTTTGGAAAGTTAAATCTTGATATCGGCCAAAATCTTGAGTTCAGGATTTTTAAAAGCTAAGATCTTGAAATCGGCCAAAATCTTGAATTCGGGGTTGTTGGAAGGGGAAAATCTTGAAATTAGCTAAAATCTTAAATTCAGGATTTTAGAAAGCTAAGATCTAGAAATCGGGGAAAATCTTGAATTCAAGATTTTGGAAAGCTAAAATCTTGATATCGGCCAAAATCTTGAATTCACGATTTTTGAAAGCTAAGATCTTCATATCGGCCAAAATCTTGAATTCAAGATTTTTGTAAAGCTAAGATCTTAAAATCGGCCAAAATCTTGAATTCAGGATTTTGGAAAGGTAAAATCTTTAAATCGGCAAAAATCTTGAGTTCAACATTTTGGAAAGCTAAAAGGTCGAAATCGACCAAAATCTTGAATTGAAGACTTTAAAAAGCTAAGATCTTGAAATCGCCAAAAATCTTGAATTCAGGATTTTGAAAGCTAAGATCTTAAAATCGCCCAAAATCTTCAATTTAGGATTTTAGAAAGGTAAAATTTTCAAATCTTCAAAAATCTTCAATTCAAGATTTTGGAAAGCTAAAAGGTCGAAATAGACCAAAATCTTGAATTCGAGATTTTGAAAAGCTAAGATCTTGAAATCGCCCAAAATCTTGAATTCAGGATTTTGGAAAGCTAATATCTTGAAATTTTCGAAAATCTTGAATTCGGCGTTTTAAAAAGGTAAAATCTTGAAATCAGCCAAAATCTTGAATTAAGGATTTTAGAAAGCTAAGAACTTGAAATCGTCGAAAATCTTGAATTCAGGATTTTCTAAAGCTAAGATCTTAAAATTGGCCAAAATCTTGACTTCAGGATTTTGGAAAGCTAGAATCTTGAAATCGGCCAAAATGTTGAATTCAGGATTTTCAAAAGCTAAGATCTTTAAATCGCCCCAAATCTTGAATTCAGGATTTTGGAAAGCTAAGATCTTGAAATCGGGGAGAATCTTGAATTCAGGATTTTGGAAAGCTAAGATCTTGAAATCGGCCAAAATCTTGAATTCAGCATTTTTGAAACATAAGATCTTGAAATCGGCACAAATCTTGAATTCAGGATTTTAGAAAGCTATAATCTTGAAATCGGCGAAAATCTTGCATTCAGGATTTTGGAAAGCTAAAATCTTGAAATCGGACAAAATCTTGAATTTAAGATTTTGAAAAGCTAAAATCCTACATCGCCCAAAATCTTGAATTCAGGATTTTGGAAAGCTATCATCTTGAAATCGGCCAAAACCTCGAATTCAGGATTTTGGAAAGGTTAATTCTTCAAATCAGCCAAAATCTTGAATTTACGATTTTGGAAAGCGAAAATCTTTAAATCGCTAAAAATCTTGAATTCATGATTTTGGAAAGGTAAAATCTTCAAATCGTCCAAAACCCTGAATTAACGATTTTCGAAAGCTTAAAGCTTTGAATCGGCCAAAATCTTGAATTCGGGATTTTGGAAAGCTAAAATCTTGAATTCGGCCAAAATCTTGAATTCAGGATTTTAGAAAGCTAAAATCCTATATCGGACAAAATCTTGAATTCAGGATTTTGGAAAGCTATCATCTTCAAATCGGCCAAAACCTCGAATTCAGGATTTTGGAAAGGTTAATTCTTCAAATTAGCCAAAATCTTGAATTTACGATTTTGGAAAGCTAAGACCTTGAAATCGGCCAAAATCTTGAATTTAAGATTTTGAAAACCTTAAATCGTATATGGGACAAAATCTTGAATTCCGGATTTTGGAAAGCTAAGATCTTGAAATCGGCTAAAACCTTCAATTCAGGATTTTGGAAAGCGAAAATCTTGAAATCGCTAAAAATCTTGAATTCAGGATTTTGGAAAGGTAAAATCTTCAAATCGTCCAAAATTCTGAATTCACGAATTTGGAAAACTTAAATCTTTAAATTGACCAAAATCTTGAATTCGGCCAAAATCTTGAATTCAGGATTTTGGAAAGCTAAAATCCTATATCGGACAAAATCTTGAATTGAGGATTTTGGTAAGCTAAGATCTTGAAATCGCCCAAAATCTTCAATTCAGGATTTTCGTAAGGTATAATCTTTAAATTGGCCAAACACTTGAATTTAGGATTTTTGAAAGCTAAAATCTTGAAATCAGCCAAAATCTTGAATTCAGCATTTTGGAAAGATAAGATCTTGAAATCGGCACAAATCTTGAATTCAGCATTTTTGAAAGCTATTATCTTGAAATCGGCCAAAATCTTGCATTCAGGATTTTAAAAAGCTAAGATCTTGAAATCGGCCAAAATCTTGAATTTAAGATTTTGAAAAGCTAAGATCTTAAAATCGCCCAAAATCTTGAATTCAGGAGTTTGGAAAGCTACAATCTTAATATCGGCCAAAACCTTGAATTCCGGTTTTTGGAAACGTAAAAGCTTCAAATGGGCCAAAATCTTGAATTGAGGATTTTGGAAAGGTAAAATCTTGAATTCAACGATTTTGGAAAGCTAAAATATTAAATTCGGCCAAAATCTTAAATACAGGATTTTGGAAAGCTAAGATCTTCAAATCGGCCAAAATCTTGAATGCAGGATTTTGGAAAGGTAAAATCTTTAAATCGGGCAACTTCTTGAATTCAGGATTTTTGAAAGCTTAAGTGGCTGTCCACCTAAGAGCGGTCCGGCGAGTTTGGGATCGCCAGTAAACCTTGCCTTTATTTTTTGTGGGTGAAAAGGACTTAATGAGCAATGATTAAAATCGAGCTAATTTTTTTCAAAATCTTTTTCTGTGCTTCGCTACAGCACATAACTTCTTTCCTGTCTTAGAGCGCTTTTTCAACTTTATTCAATGGCCAAAATTCAGCAATTTTAAAAGCCGCGCTTCTTCGTAACGGATAAAACTCGCGAAATTCTACATAGTACAATGGATTTAGCTGCATTTAACTTGTCCTATGATGGAATCTTGGATAATTTGACGCAAAATAAAATAAAATTAATAAGATCAAAGACGAGCCACTTTGCGGTTTTTCTGCTCCCTTGACCAATTCTTCCAAAGTAAAAGCTAAAATCTCCAAAGCGGTACAAAAATCACAGGCAAAAAGCACTTCACAGGAAAGACCTTACCTTATTCTGTTAGAAAATAAAGTTGACGGTGCGGGTATCATTCTGCGTCGGACGCGAACAAGCGTTTTTGAGAGCTCCTTTTGTCAATATTTACCTAAAATTGCACGTTTGGCGCCTACACTTAAACTCATATGATAAGGCTGATATTTTATCCACGGGGCAGAATCTTGGTATGCTTCGTCAAAATAACACACATTTGTTGTTTTATAAGCCATCTTAGGCCTGTAAACCATAAATATGCATAAAATGTCATAAAATATATGTAGGAATTCTTCATCTACTNCTTACCTTATTCTGTTAGAAAATAAAGTTAACGGTGCGGGTATCATTCTGCGTCGGACGCGAACAAGCGTTTTTGAGAGCTCCTTTTGTCAATATTTACCTAAAATTGCACGTTTGGCGCCTACACTTAAACTCATATGATAAGGCTGATATTTTATCCACGGGGCAGAATCTTGGTATGCTTCATCAAAATAAGGCACATTTGTTGTTTTATAAGCCATCTTAGGCCTGTAAACCGGCATAAAATGTCATAAAATATATGTAGGAATTCTTCATCTACTCGTATATTATGCAAATTTAAAAGCTCCTTTACAGCGGGTTTTCGATTTCAGCAATTTTCAAAATCGTAAAGAATACAATTCACTTCTGCTCAAACGAAGCCATTTTTGAGTTTGGAGTCTCAGCAACTAAAAGGCACTTTAATTAAGATTGAATTCAGCTCAATTTCCTTTTGGGTTTTCTCCATGGTCATATGCTAATTAGGATTGTTGTCACGCAATGAAAGCGGATTTGGAGCAAGCAAGTTGGTGCCTGTACTGTCGCAATTTGT